GTGTTGGTGTTGGTGTTGCACTTGCTGCTAGTGTTAGTGTTGCTGCTGCTGGTAGTGCTGCAGCTACTGCCGGTGTTGCTGCTGCTTGTGGCTGTGGTGTTGCTTTTGCTGCTACTCATCTTGCTGCTGACGCTGCTGCTCTTGCTGCTGTTGGTGTGCTGCTGCTGCTGCTGCTGCTGCTGCTGCTGCTGCTGCTGCTGCTGCTTGTGTTTAGGTTGGTGGCAGCAGAAGAAGACGTCCTTGAATGTCAAACGGTGCTCAGGCTGCTCGCGCGCTTGACTGTTGAGGTCTGCTGCTGCTGCTGCTGCTGCTGCTGCTGCTGCTGCTCTTGCTGCTGCTGCTGCTCTTGCTGCTGCTGCTGCAGCTGATGTTGCTGCTGCTGCTGGTGTTGCTGGTGATAATGCTTGTGTTGCTGCTGCTGCTGCTGCCGTTGCTAGTTTCTCACTTCTAGGCAAAGAGGCAGCATCGTCTGCTGTTGCAGCAGCAGCAGCTGCTGCTGCTGCTGCAGCAACACCTCTATATGCTGCAGCAGCAGCAGCAGCAGCAGCAGCAGCAGCAGCAGCAGCAGCAGCAGCAGTGTGTGTGTTTGCTGCTGCAGAGCCGGTCTGAGTTTGCGAGAATTTTGGGCCTCGAAAACGCCGCCATGCAAAAGGCTGTACAAGTCAGCGCCCTCTCCTTTTTGTCTCCTTTTCTGTCTCCTTTTTTTGTCTCCTTTTTTGTCTCCTTTTGTCTCCTTTTTTTTTGTCTCCTTTTGTCTCCTTTTGTCTCCATTTTTTTGTCTCCTTTTCTGTCTCCTTTTCTGTCTCCTTTTCTGTCTGCTTTTCTGTCTCCTTTTTTCTCCTTTTTTGTCTCCTTTTTGTCTCCTTTTGTCTCCTTTTGTTGTTTCCTTTTTGTCTCCTTTTGTTTCCTTTTCTGTCTCCTTTTTTGTCTCCTTTTCTGTCTCCTTTACTGTCTCCTTTTTTGTCTCCTTTTGTCTCCTTTTCTGTCCCCTTTTCTGTCTCCTCCTGTCTCCTTGTGTCTTCTTTTTTGTCTCCTTTTGTCTCTTGGTGTTTCTCTTTGTCTCTCTTTGTGTGTGCCGCCTCTCGCACGTGCTGCTGCTGCTGCTGCTGCTGTACGTGCTGCTGCTGCTGTTGCTGCTGCTGCTGCTGCTGCTGCTGCAGGACTGTCTCTCTTCGTCGTGTAAGAGAAAGAAGGTGGGTCCCCTTTGGTGTCTCTTTATCTTCTCTGCATTAGAGGGTTTAGAGTTCTAGGGTTTAGGGTTTAGGGTTTAGGGTTTGCTGGTGGCTGTGTCTCATTGCTTATTATATACTGCCTCTGCTGCTGCTGCTGCTGCTGCTGTTGCTGCTGCTGCTGCTGCGGCTGATTGGCTGCCTTCCACTCTCCATGTTGATGAATATGAACCTGTTGCTGCTATTTCTGCTGCTGCTGCTGCTCTTGCTGCTGTTGCTGCTGCTGCTGCTGCTGCTGTTGCTGCTGCTGCTGTTGCTGCTGCTGCTGCTGTTGCT